AGAGGGATTTTCGTCAGTTGCACAACAACAGAAGGAGGTATTAGGCTCTGGCACAGAGCAGCTACCAACTGTTGGTCCGCTACAAAGAAAGAAGCAGCTCTGAGTGTGAAGAGCTTACTTTAATTATCAGACACAGGAGTCAACAGTATGGTGCATTGTGTTCCTCTCTCTCTCTCTCTCTCTCACAAAGATATTGTGAACACAGCAAATAACTTCTCATACCCAAGTGCAGCCGAACGCTATATGACTCCGACACCTCTTTGGAGTGTGAATGCAAATGCAGGCACCAAGTGACTGGAGATGGCAGCAGCTTAACATTCAGAGGGATTTTGGTGTTTGGAAAGTATGGATATGCTAAGAGAAACTTAGAGACAAGTAATTACGAATTATTGTAGGTGGACAAGAAATATATAGAAACTACATGACCTCATGACTTCACCTCCGATAAGCTAAGGGCGGCTAATGTTTGGCGTGATGACGTTTCGTAGACTCATTTAGACACTTTTTGGCAACTACTGTGTTTGTGACACATTAAAGCTTCTGACATTCATGAGTGTGGCTATACTACATATGTACAACAGTATTTTAGACTAACCAAAAATAAAGTTAAACGCGAACTAGTACAATGCTAATTTCTTGGTTTTAACCTGTTAAACCCCAAGGCTGTTTTTCAGGTCTCAGGCTCGAAAATGACATGCCCAGAACAAATGACTATATCTTCACTTCTAAAAGGGGTAAATTAATAATCTTTTTTCTCAAAGCAATGATACACCTGTGAGTTGGATGTAGAGAAGTCAGAATGAATATAGATGTTTTTATTTTAAAGTAAATTCAGATTGAACATAGTAAAACAATTTAAATTATAGTTTCAGTCCCAAAAAAACCCATTACTTATAGTGAAAACCACCCTTGAATGATGGGATCAGAGACTAAAAGCTTTAGGAATCCAAACTATAACATATAATAAGTAACCTGTATCAAGATTGATGCAAAACAAGTTCAATCTGACCTTTTTAGAGAGGTTTAGAAAAAAACAAACACTTCTGGGGTCATTTGGGTATATTTGCCATATCTCTGGAACCCATCAGTCGATTTTGGTGATTGACACCACTTTTAAACCGTTAGAGCCAATAGAATCGAGGGGAGGTTCCTAAATCCATCTAAACATTACCATTGGTGAATGAGAGTGATGTGCACCCAGCATGCCCAAAACCGGAAGCTCTCATACACTCTAAATGAAAACTACTCTTATTGACATAAATGTTTGTTGTAAAAATGGTTCATATCGTCAGTTAGCTGAGTTTCTTCCCGTTAAGTGGGTATGACACATTAATAGGTTGCAGTGGCGAACCGTGTCTATCACAACTGGACCTTCTGTAGACACACACACACCCTCCGCCGCTTCGCCCCCCCGCTGCCGTTATAATGTCCGTCTTTAGACAGATCCTCTGTCTCGAGCCAGTGAACTACTGGGCCTTCTAGAATACCCTGGAACCGAGGGGAACTCTGAAAGAATACGCCCATTGGCTACAAATCAATATATGATTGGTTGATCAAACTGTCAATCCAAAGGTACGCTCTCATTCAGTGCAACGGCCAGGGTATTCTATCAAGGATATAGAATAATGGTTGAAGGATATTCTACCCAGAGACCCAGAAAAATATCTGATTGGTTGCTTTTTTTTTCTAACACAAAACCACTGAAATGCGTAGTGCATGGACCGAGAAGGACAAGCAAATCAACGTAACACTATATATACTATACTATAATATCTGTAATATTACAGATCAACAACACAGATACGATTCTCATTTATTCATTTTACATACATTTTATTTATATAATTAAATCGATTTTTTGTTTGTTTTATCTGAGTGTTCCAGGGTATTCTCTGAATACCTTGAAGGCCCTTACGGTTCGCCACTGATAGGTTGTTAAATGTTAAGACCCCTGAGACACAGTTTTGTGAATATTGTTGTGTTTTGCACCCGCCCCCGGGGGCATGGGGTTTAACATGACTCATTGCTGCACCACTGCGACAAGGTAATCACTGTAATATAATGTTTTTACTCAAGAATTGCACTTTATTTTATACATAAACTGCTGAATGTAACATAAAGTACATGTGTGTTTGATAGAGTGTAGTTTTTGAAGCAGAACCCACTTTCCTTGTGTAAAAGCAGCTTAAAGAGTGCCCTTGATCAAGGCATGCAACTGCTCCAGTGCAGCTCACTCTGTGGTCAACAGAACAAACTGGAGGCTTTGCAGGGCAGCTGCTCCCTTTCATGTGGTCAACTTACCGCCCGGCTCTGGCTCCAAATCAGAACATGCTCTCTAACAGCTCTCTTGGTTAAAAAAAGTATGCCTTGTGAAGAAACAGAGAGTAAAAACTGTTAGTTACATGGCCTATTTATTACAGAAGGACAGCTTATCCTTAAGGGAATAATTTAGACCACAATGTCATTCTTAAACTTCACTTTTCTTTCTAAGTTCTCCCTTGGAAATTATAAAAGTTTGAACAATTTCTTATATCCGTGTCATGACACGTCATCGTCCATCCCACATGGGATTATATCATAGATATATTTTGAGAAAAACTAGATCTTGTGGGATGATATTCATCCAAACTGAAAGGCACGATGAACAAAAAAGAAAGAAAAGTTTCCTCCCAAATGCTTTGGGAATATTTTGCAGCAGATGGCTCTTTTGACAGAGTAAATGGTAAATTGACAGTATTTATATAGCACTTTATCTTTACAACCCCTATAAATGCTTTACATTTACAAGTCATCATTCGCCCATCACACCCCATTTTCATACAGCGCAATATGCCACTCTCTCAGGGAAGCTAACATTCACACAGTTGGCCATGCCATTGAGATTTTCAAGTATCTTGCCCAAGGATGCATCACCATGTTGGCTGCAGGGGCTGGGATCAAACCCACAAACTTCTGATTGAAAGTTCTGGGAATGACCGCCATGGAGGATATTATTTAAATTTAATTTCCAACTTTATAACGGCCAAAATAACCCTAACCCTAACCCGGCAAACATCTTAGACCCCATTTACACGCAAACGCAAACGCATACGAAACGCAAACGAACCGAATACGATATCAAAAAAGTATTCCGTTCACATGAGACCGCTCGGGAGTGCTGGAGACGCTGTAGTACATATGCCGGGCCTGTAAGTGGCGCTGTACTTCTGCCACAAAATACACCAAAAGCAGCGAAGAAGACCCCCGAGCATGGTTGCCATGGTTGCCCTTCTGTTTATGCCCCGCGGTGGATTTAGCAACATGTAGTTCATGTAATTCTCCATGTCCACTTGTTGCTGATGGTTGTGGTAGAGGAGCTGTAGATTTTGCACTAGCATCTGTAGCATGGTCGAGCTGTAGATTTTGCACTAACATCTGTAGCATGGTCAGTAGCAGTAGCAGTAGCTACTGACAGTAGCTACTGACCATGCTACAGCAGTGAGCAGCAGAGGTGGGGAGAGGTGGGGCTATGGCTTCATCGTTATCAGGAAATGATCGTATAGGGCGTACACACGGAGCCGTTTGGCCCCCCAGAGCGTTCCGTTTGCAGATCTATCCACCTTGTGACCCGTTATCGTTTGCGGGGTCCGTTTCCGCGTTTCCGTTATCGGCCTCGTGTGAACGAACGGGCTATACGAAAGAGAAAAGTAGCGGATACAACCGTTTGCATTCTCGTGTAAACAGCACATTACTTTCCAGAAAGCAAAACAAACAAGGAGCAACAGCTCTGAATCAACATGGCCAGGTTGTTGTTGGTTAACAAGTACTTTTTCATTGTTAGCTTCTATTAGCTTTCCATCAAGTCCACACTGTGATTTCCTAACACAGCATATGGCAAATCAGTGAAAGATGTTCTGCATGCAATAGTGGAGGTATATCTCAACAACACCCCGAGAGAAACCAAGCGAGAAAGATATGAAATATTAACACGTGTTTTTCACAACCCTGAAAGAGATGCCAAAATAGCAGTCCTCCAATAGCTGGGAAATAAATGGTGTCAATTTGGATCCAGGTCTTATACAAAGCCTAAAAACACCCCCAAAAAGAACACCAAATATTCCACTCCCCTTCACAAGAATCCCATCACACTTCTATTTATTGGGTGTGTTCAACAGTTCTACTGAGTTTTGTGTTAAACAGAAGCAAACTGCTGCTGAATTATCTATTCATAGCATATTTAACCCTCTCATATGATAATGTTTTGTCCTGCAGGAGATGTGGGTCTTTGAGGCAGCATTGTAGAAGTCGATATTTGCTTTGTTTAAATTCCTCCGCCCCTCAAGACGAAAGGTGGGCAGGAGGTGAGGGAAGTCTCTGAGTGCCACTTATATGAACGCAGCCAAACTTAACTCAATATGGTCGAAGAAAGCAAGGTAAAGTCTTCTTTTGGTGGGAAGCAACTAGACCAAGGGCTAAAACAGACTTATCTCCTATTATCAAATTGATTTTTTTGTTCTCTCTCGCGCTCCCTTCCTCTCTCTCCGCCTCACAGACCTGAGCGATGTGTACTTCTCCTCTCAGTGGGCATCTGTGAGATCTTCTGGCTGAGAGCTTTCAAAAAGCCCCGTGATTGCAGACCATCTTAGCGGCGAGAGAATTCACCTGAGACTGCGACGGTTGCCATGGTAACACCCACTGTTGGCCTTGTGCCGGCACAAAATAAGGCACTCCGGAGTGGGGGAAAAGAGGGAGTAATCCATTTGACAACACGATGAGCAAACACGCCAACACTTCTATGACTCTTATGTGTCACGAGACCCGACTTTGAGTAGGTCCCGGTGGCATTTGAATCTCTACATGTCCACCGGTTGACATATTTCCATTGCACCTCGAAGGTATGAGGGAAATCCGTACAGCTTATTGGAACTTGAAATGTGAGCAATGAGTGTGAAGCCCTGGCCTGGAGGCACAGTGCAAAACTCATAAGAAATGCAAACAAACATATTGATTACTTTGATTACCTTCGTTGTCCTTCAGGGTGAAGTTGGGATTAACCGGCAGTTGGCTGGGGAAAGCGAAGGAGAAGCGCTGTCCATTGGCAAAGTCATCCTTATCCACTGCAGTGACGGTCTGGATCACCTGTTGTTCAGAAACACATTTGATTAGTGGAACACTTGTCACTGATTGCATTCAGGACAAGGAGTTGATTTATTGTCTGACGCATGCTTCATGATTAGTTGCTCATAATTGGTCAGAGGTCCTTTAACCTACAGACAACTGGTCTCGTGTCATTTTCTCTTTGCAACACTCGGATTTCTGAACAATTTGACTTGTGTAGGCTTGCATCTAAACATGACAGAAGTGCTTTCACGGCAACCTCGCTGCCACTTGTGTCAGCTTGTAGTTCTTAATTGGTAAACCTCAAAGTGACAGTGGGACAGGGAGCCAGCCTTGAGAGAAAAATGACACGATAGCCTCTGTCTTAAAGGAGGGTTTTTTATCTCCAATGTGAGATTTGCGGTGTTGTTGTGCTGCTGCTATACCTGCACAAGCTTCTGTCTTTCACTCTGATGTATTAGGATGTCCTTTGTGGATGCTTTTGGCTGAGTATGACAGAGTTATCTTTCTTCTCGTGTGGATTCAAAGTGAATTTGTTTTCCATAAATGTATAAAAGCAGCTAACTGCCTCTTGATTAGTCTTTAAACTCACGATAATGGGATGTCTGGAAAGAAAGGAAGCAATACTGGTTTTAAATGCTTGCCTGAGGATACAACACCCATGGTTGGCTTCTGAGTGGTTGCAAAGTTCTGCATAATGTAAGTTTTGGTTTAGAGCGTAATGGCAGTTTAATGTGTCCTTGGTCTCATTTGAGAAATCTGTGAGCTTAGAGGACTGTTTCCTATCTCTAAAACATGAATTAAGAAATCAACCGTATGAAATGCCAATATAAACCACACCCAGTTCAGGTGAAGAAACACAGACGGGTGATTTGATTGGTTTAACAAAATAATTGACAAATATGTGTATAAAGACGTGTCTGTACACCTCTAGTTAGCACATATCAGTGTGATTACACATTTGATTCAGACACATCTACGCACCTGCTGTTCTATTAACAGTTAACATGCTATTAACATTGGCACCGGCCACATTTAAAATAGGGCAACGTGTGAAAACTCTGAATCAACATTCCCATTGCCAGTAACATCATCGTTTAAGGGTTAGTGTTATATGATACAATGTTGATGTCACCTGCCAATTAATGAGAACTGAATGTCTGTGGTGTAAAATGCAGACAGATTCTAAAACATCAATTAGCAGCTCTATTTTTTCACATAGGTTGTCAGTTAAATGGCTGTATGCCACTGTCTCATTACAGACGTTAGAATTCTTCACACACATCCCTCATGGGCCAAGAACCCTGAGGCTATAATGCAACCTTAATTCAAATGTAATGCAAACCTTAATTCAAACTTTTCCTTCACTAGCTTTAAAAAATACTATCAAACATGATTTTAGTTGTGCCTTCCCGGCCTTTACTCCATCATCCTTTGCCAAAGCGCCTTTTTAGCCATTTTCATGCTGCTGATTGCTCTATACAGTATCTCAAAAACCTTCCTAATTTGAATGAATCAAAGACTACTGAGAGCAAATTGGAATGAGTTTCGATTTAATGCTGTCATGGTTTGCTGCTGAGATACTCATTTCGGATGAGAGATGATTAAGCAGCTCGCTCACACGCCTTTGCTTTGTTTCTTACTGCTCAGCTCTGTGAGGGGCCAAACTACCCAAGGAAATATGAGTTTAGAGGAGAATGCATGCAGGCAGGGAGGAGAATGAGGTAACAGCACAGCGGTGGAAAGATTTGTAAATGCGAGGAGAGATAAGGGAGGAGAGATAGTAGTTGCAGATTGTTCTAGTTGAATCCGAGATGCTCACCTGTCCCGGCCTGGAGCTCTCACACACAATGACCTCCTCGTCTGTAGCTATTTCTGGCGGGTTGTCGTTCACATCCAGCACCTGGACGGTAACAGGAACATGGCTGAGGAAGCTGGGGTTGTCTGCAGCAGAGGAGATGAAAGTCAAATGTAAGCCTTAATAACAAAGTAGAGCATCACCACTGTAATTCTAAACTGGGACACTGTGCTCTTCTTGTCGCACTGCTTATGGGTTTCTACTTTACTATAAAGCACTAAGGGACGTGAAATGCAGAAGGCAATTTTGGATATTAAAGCACATCTGATCATCTTTGTGCAGCATATTCCCATTGGTGTGCTTGGTTGTGATGCATTATTTGCCCCTTGCGCTTCACAAGCAACTCATGAGGCATGTTAATCGGAAGCCTTACATCCTCTCATTTAAATTTAAAGTTACAGTCTGAATGGAAACAGAATAGCCACCACTGGAATTCGAAATGGAACAATGATTTGCCCTATGGAATACAGATTTATGATTTCAAATATACAGTATGAGGCTTGTATGAAGTAAGTACAATATTGACAGAATGTGTTACATTTTGCACACAAATTATAGACAGTTATAGATTTATGATTAAATATTGGCAAATGCAATAACCTAGTCTTCCATCAGCCTAAAAACTCAACCCACCATGATTTTTCTCTAATTCACAACTACTACAATAGTACTGCCTTGCTCAAGGGCACTTCAACCTTCGAACCATTGGTGCACCTGGGTCCTTTTTAGAGAAATAACCTTTGTACAGCTTCCAGGTGTGAGTCTGTTGTACAGTATGAGAAATAGCATGCTCGCTCAGCAAAATCCTTCAATATGAAGAAGTCGTGCAGGTGCGGCAGTCTATTCTATTAAATTCATGTTTCCAGATTTGTATTTACTTTATCTTGTGTATCAAGGTTTACATGCATGGTGTTTTGTTGGTGTCTAGAGAAAGTCTGCCATTGGAACTACTGTATTATAAACAGACCGGGGTATCGCTGAGTTGCATTACATATAGGAATGTATAAGGACATTTGCTATTGGCAATACTATGCAAAGAGTCATTATTTTCTAGATCTGGGTTTGAAAATAATCAAATGCTGTATTGTTGATGAAGTATTAGTACTACTTTGTACAGGCTTCTTTTGGTTTTTATACCTGGACCTAATGATAAGAGTATTTTTCTTCTCTTTTTACCATAATATGATTTTAAAACCAACACTTAAATTCAATCATGCATTCATTCTCTCATTCTCGCATTGGCTATAAGGCGGCGGCTAAAGTCTTTGAACTGACTTCTTTGTGTCTCTGGCCTAGGCTCCACGGGAACGAAAACGGGTTGAATCCGCATATTTCTCATGCGTATAGCCCTTTAAGCTCGACGACGCCGTAACGGAAACGTAGAAACAGACCCTGCAAACGACAACGGGTCCAAAGGTGGATAGATCTGGGAACGGAGCGCTCTGGGGGGTCCAACGGGGCCGTGTGGTCGCCTATACGGTCATCCGTTTCTGATAATGACGACGCAATAGCCCCGCCTCTCCCCGCCTCTGCTGCTCACCCCCGCAAAAGTACACTGCACACTGAATTCAGATTATTTATCTTTATCTCGATATGGACATAAACGCGAGTGAAGTCTAATCTGACAGGGCGGAGACACGCAGCTCCTCCCGCTGTGATGCAGCGGGAGCAAAACACACACTTCAAGTCAGATCATCACCCTTAGCTATTTTAATTACCTCTCAAACTACCTAAACTAGTTATAAATATGTTTATTTTTACTGTCGGGTCACTCATTACAGGATCAGCTGCTGCATGAGACAGACACTGACGCTGTCAGAAGAGAGGAAAAAGAGACAGGCTCCGTGTATTTTATGATTATATATCATTATATCGTCGTTATTCATTTGTTTTAAAGCTCAATAAATAACAATGAAGACCTTTGACCGGCACTTTTATAATTTTGTTCGGAAGATTTAAACTTTAACACACGTTGACCGGCGAAAAACTCTGCCCGGTTCCGTCGGCCCCCACCAAGGAGAATAAACAGAAGTGCAGCCATGACAACCATTCTTCTTCGCTGCTTTTGTGGAGGAAGTTGCTGCTTTTGTGGAGGAAGTTACAGCGCCACGTACAGGTTCGGCATATGTACTGCAGCTTTTCCAGCGGTTGGATGTAAACGGAGCCGTCTCGTGGAGCTTGACACAATCCGGTGTATATTGCGTGTGGGCGGAAGCTTTTTTGCGGTTGCGTTACTCCGATGCGTTTTGCCGTATGCGTTCCCGTGGAGCCGGGGGCTCTGACTGTGTGTCCTTGCTCTTTTACATACAGTAGTGCTAACAATTATAACCTTGCATTTTGACAGTGTCTTGGATTGTAATTGTACCCTTGAAGATTAAAGGGTGGTGGAGAGATAAAGAAACATTAGCATGCAGCACCTCTGTTGGTAGGAAAGAGATTTGCCTAATTGTGATTACAAATTAGCCAAATTACCTGATAGCAATTCTTGAAGTTAGCAGGGCCTGCATTGATTTAATTAATTTCCAATGCAGGAAAGGACATTGAAACAATTGGGACTAATTCGATTTTGTAGTTAATTATAAGAAAAATACACTGTAACCTATTTGAATGCATTCCAATCAATATGCAAATGAAGTCATTCATCCTTGTTTTCTCCAGATGTTAATTGCTACTCCCACTATAACTACAGTAATAAGTATACTGTGTTTAAATACTGTTGCAGTTCGGATATTAATGATACTCGTAATACATCTTGCAGCTTGTGAACAGGTATAGGAATGCCACAGTGCGATTGATAGAAGGTTAACAATTGACCATTTTATTTGCTTATTACGATTAGTTGACCAGATATATTTCTCAGAAATAGGTCATTGGGCATGGAAAAAGCTTTACAAAATGACCAATAAATCAAGTTGAAAAAGACAAGAATCACTGATTAGTTGACTAATAGGGGGCAGTCCTTGATAATCAATTATCTGTGCTTAAAGGGTGCTTTTATTCTGATATTAAACAAAGAGGTTCGCAGTGCAGATTGATGTAGTATTTCCTTCTTTTTTTTTTAAAGTTCCATTTTGTTGATATTGATTTCATCTCCAATCTTACACACTACGATTTTGATCCAGGACTGCTCTCTGGTTATATGACCCCCTCAGGCTGTCTTGTTATCTTGTGGGGAAGGGGTGAAACCTTTTTTTGTATGACTCCAGCACCTACCATCATTTCAGAATTTGTTTTCTTTAAATCACGCTGTTGTGGCACAAAGCTCACCATGATTTCAATGCAATTTTGCTTACGATTTACAATGTCTCCTATTAGCCCGGGGCTAAACAAGATGAGTGTGGAAAGAAAGAGCAATCTCTTTTACTGCCTCTTTCCGGCAACTGGATAATAGCATTTCATGTGTTTACTACAGTCCCTGAAGGTATCCAACACGGGTATTTAAATATGTAGATGTCAGAAGGTGAAGAGAATATCTTGTGTGGTATGAGCGTAACTCCATATCTCCTCATTAACTTACCCTATTACAAAATGTCAAAACTATTTTTATGTCCCAATGCATCTGTAGGTCTACACTTATTTACGATAAAGATGCTGCTCACTCGTGAAAAACCACTTGGAAATAGAGACAGCTGGTGCATTATGTCCCCTCGCCCACTTGCAAACATTGAGTTAAAGGAAAGAAGCCTGGGTACCTACCAACCTCCGAGGCCATCACAGTTATATTGTGCCAGGACATGTCTTCTCTGTCCAGAGACTGAGTAGTCCGTATTAATCCACTGTTCTCATCGATCCTGAAGTACCGCACTCCTTCCTCTTTGCTGTCCAAGAAGTACCTATTAGGCAAGGAAAATGTAAAATAATGTATCCACTCCAGATGCAAAAATCACAGTGATGGCAAGAAAAAACGATTAAGATGACATTGGATATTCTGCAGGACACTGTTAGTTGGAAGTGTCCAGTAAGCATACATTATTAAAGTGTCAAGATTGTTGGTTAAAAACTGTCCTTTAAGTTCTTAGTGCCAGCATGTTTTTGTCAATTGTTTCCATTGTGGAGAGAGTGTTTTCGAAAATAGTGCTTCACCATAGGGGGTTCAAAACATTGGCACGATCGCTACAAGCACTTTTGGTTCAAATATCTTTGAATTTGTCCGAAAATTGCTACTGACGTCTTTTTAGGAAATGGCGGAAACATTTGTTTTGGCTGTGTCTGTCCATTGTGAGCTTTCGATGTCAGACAGATACATTCATAACAGAGACTGGATTTTCCCTCTTTGTTCTCATTGCGTCTGTCCATCTGAACATATTGACGGGGCGGAAACTGAATGTTGATGTCGGTAAATGTTGTGCTTTTATCGCGATGTCTCTGCGTCGCTTCACGACTGTCAAATTGATCAGTGACGAGCATGTTCTTACAAAGTACAAGGGCAAGCACCTACCATGGGGAGAAAAACAATGTAAAACAAATGCATAGTAGTCCAAATAGAAGCAATGGGGTGATGCTGGTCTATATCACTAAAGTGACGATATGTACTCAATATATTGTTATAACACAAACCCTAACTTCTTTTTTACCACTATACATATACAGTGGTTTCACTCTTCCTCCTGTTAGTAGTTAGCAGTCTACAAGCCCCATGCAAGATAACTGTTGTCATTACCTTTGGGAAGCTTTTTTTAGAGAGCCACATAGCACCTTATAAGGCTGTTTTCAGAAACTGAAAAATACTGCTCATTATCAGTAAACTATCCTTTGTGTTAAATCGGTGCCCTTTTCAGCCAAATAGAAGTTACTCAAATGCCTCAGAACATAATGCAGGTACTTGATGTGTTTCAGCACTGACTGGAGGCATTAGAAAACACATTTGCTTACTTATATCATACAGCAAACTGAAATGCAGTCGACCAAAACTAAGCAGTGTACTGTAAAGAACCAGCAAAAAAACGAAGGGGATGCTATTATGGTTCTGTGGTATTCAAAGTCTTATCCTAAGCAAATTAATAGAATAAACCCTACTGCTTTTAAATAGACTTTCAACACTTTTCTGAAGAGCAATTACCTTCAATATTTAATAACGACAAAAGGCGAAGTTCTGCTGGTAATGTTTACACTGTAGTAATGGCTTTCTCGCCACGCTGTTATCAAACTAAAGCAAAGCAGCCTATGAAAGCATAGTGGAAACATTACTGCTGCTCAACTCACAAGTTCAAGCACGAAATGAGCATTGACTGTGTGTTACCTAATGTATCTCTTAATGACCTATTTACACCTTTAATCCAGCATTAATTCTCCTGAGTAATACAGCCTCAGTCTGCAGTTAGCATGAATGACGGAAATGGTATAGGGATATTAACGCCAGGATTGCATTTATTTGAAATAATGAACGTTATATTTTTTGATTGTGTAGAAACGTACCCAGCACCCTCGGTAGAAATGTTGTCAAGATGTATTAAAGGCTCTGGAATGATAAGAGCATGAAGGCTGTTGCAGTAACAGTGAGTTTAGAGGGCAGAGAAGAAGAAAAACATGTTGTTTTATGTCTACTTTAAAAACATGTTGTAATTACTGCTGCTGGAGATACATCTTGGTTCTTGTTGCATTTGTTTTTTGATTGTTTATTTTCTTATTTCTGCAGAGAACTAGCTAAAAGAACACAATGTTGCATCATGCATTCATTATTTTCCAGAACAGCTTAATAGTGGGAAATATTTTATTTTGTTTGGTTTCTTTGCAACAACTGCTTCATATTTCCATATGCACAATAATAGCCTCCATCTTTGGCATAGTTTGTGTAAAAGTATGCAAACATCAAGAAAGCTGAACGCCTATAGTATAGCAGATCAGAAAGACGCTGCCTTTAACACAACACAATTACTAGTTCAATAAAAAACTGAAATGTAACTTTCATGGGTGTGAGACAAAACACGACAAAACATATACACTTTTGAAAATGTCCAATTATTTGCTTCTTCTACCAATAGAAGCATGTTACTCAGTTAATACAAGCTGAAGCTGGGGCTGACTCGAGTCCATGAAGAGTGCTTCAAAGTAAACTTTTCAAACGGTTTGATTATGATTATGATAATGTATAAGAGCAACCAGAGGTAATGAGCTGTCAAATCTTTGTTAGCCTAGTTAGATATCAAGACCAGACTGAGATTATAAATGTCACTTCAATAAGATGTTTATTTTATTGCATTCATTGGCAAGACTTGTGATGATCAAAGAGAGCCAAATAATGATCCCTGCTGCATTGTATTCTGATACCAACACGGGGAGCAGTGGCTCAGTTGCTTTTTTCTCTGGGTTCAAGTGTCTGTCATGGAAATATGTTTCGTTAGCTTCCTCTTTATGAGCTGAACATTGGGAGCGATGTTCTGTAGGAATGGCCGAGGACAAGGTATCCCACAAGGAGTGCAGGGAAACCCTTTCATATGTAGATTCACTTCTTGTTTACATCAAATCCCTCACAAAGTCTTAAGATACCGACATGAGTCTTTCTCCCATTTGAAATTGAGCTTCATGCAGAACTGAACAGATCACCAGGACATTATTACAGGCATAAGACACTGTTCTTAACCCTTATGCAACACTAGTAACATCTGTGGCGATTATTTGTGTTCAATCGTTTTGGCTGGGATACATTTTATTTTTTGGAATTTCAACTTCAGCCCCTATAATAAGCCTATAATAAACTGTGTTTCCAAAATAGCCACTCTGGCCCTTAATGATACAAATGTCCATATGTAGCCACAATAAACCACATGTGTTGTGCCAACAGCCATTACATTAACAGTATTTAATTCTATTATATCTTCAAAATTGCACATTTGACTATTTTCCCCCAGAGCCGTTTCTCAAGTTTACTCTAATGGGCAAAAATGGGCTATTTTCTGGTTTCTAGTATCAACATCAAAACTGTGGCTAATCAATGACATACCAAACATTTATATATCTGCCATTAAGTAAACAAACTTACAGTTAAAAGGTTAACATTTTGAAAAGGGTTAGGTTAAGTGAAAGTGGAAAACAATAGAAATGTATAATTCCTTGTCAGATTCTTGATGAGAAGATATTTGTAAGAGAGAGCAACTTTTTTTTATAAAGATGCCCAGAGTTTAATGGATCCCTGCGCTGCATCCTACAGCAAGGCTTTGAACTGTGGCACTATAACATGTAAAAGCACCAGATAATGACTTCTTATTGATATTTTAGTAAAACCTAATCTCACGAGGAGCTTCATGTTTACAGCTACTCCATCATTTACGCTGAAGCTATGCAGGGAATTCAAATGAACACAAGCAGTGCACGAAGCGAGCTACCTGTGCAGAGCGAACACCTAGGATTAGTCCATTGCCTTAGGGTAATATCAATCTTTTTTCAACAGTCCACAAGTATGTGTTTTGAATGCATACTAATGTGCTAAGCAGTTGTATTGCCTCAGGTTACTTTCAGACTTGGAGACAAAACAACCATCCATCAGATAATGCCACATAATGAGACAGGTTCACTATGTATATTGCTGATTTTTTAGAGGGTACGTGAAACGCTTCGGGCATGTAGAGTCGCAGGAACAAACAAAGGAGCTATTAAATATAATGCAGCACCATTTTCAATCTATTTAACATAATGTTTCTTATTGGTAGTATCTGAAAAATCTGCAGTCTGAATATTAGGGAAATGGCCAGATGGTGCAAAAAGAAAGAAAATATTGAATATGATGAAAATGAATCACAAAATAATGCATTACAAGTGCATAGTGACACATACCTAAGTAAACCAAAGTGTTAAGAAATACATTCCAAATGAATGCTACAAAAATGCAAATATCGAAAAGTAAACATTATTTGGGGCAGAGATATGACGTGCAAATTGGAGTTTTAGTTAGACAAACATTTCTCGGAGGTAGAAATAATCTCATTAGACTTAAACCTCAAAGGACAAATCAAAGGCACCTCAGTTTTTATGCAGAAAACACATCCAACTGGTAAACCGAAATGCAGGAAACTGATCAAAAGCTGAATGAATAAGCAAGCAATATCCTGATGATTTCAGCTATGCAAAATATGGACCAACCCTAACCCTAACCCTAACCCTAATAACAAAAATGATTGCCTGAAAATGGTAGGCTTTACCAACTAAACAAATCCAAACTGATATGGTGACCAGCCTTTTTGGACATTTCTAGATACCAATCTGGCAAAGAAAAAACATGTTTAAAAAATATGACATTTGCGGGAGCCAATTAGTTGACAAAGTGACATAGTTCCAGTGGCCGCATGAAAGACCACTGAGCCTCTAAATAAGTCTCATAATATTAACAACCCCCTCTCTAACCCTTTTCTTCCGCAGTGTGTGATATTCCTACACAAGAAAAAATGTAGATCTTCAATTATATTCAATGATGCACAACTAATAAGAGACAGGATGCCTATGAAGCCGCTGAATACTTGTAATCATTTCTGCAGATGTAGGAGTTAAAGAGTCTCACCTAACAGGACTGTTCCTGCTGTCGGGGTCTCGAGCCGTTACGGCGCCCACCTCCGTGCCGCTCGGCGAGTTCTCGTACACGTCCATGATGTAATGATCTATGGAGAATACGGGCGCTTCGTCCACGTCCCCCACTGTGATTTTAAGGGTGGCGGTGTCTTTGAAGGAGCCGAGATAAGAGAAACGTGGATCCACATGTGTATTGGTCCCCTCGATGTGAAGAGTGTAGGTCTTCTTTCTCTCATAGTTCAGAGGCTGTCAGGGCGGGAGGGGGGGAGGGGGGGATACATTAGCACAGTACTAAGTACAGGGTTCTTACACTTTTTCCAAAGTCAAATTCAAGCACTTTTCAAGCATTTTCAAGGTGCATTTTCAAGCTTTTCAAGCATCTTGCAGCTGTTGTAAATTACATATTTATATACACATACTTATACTCAAATGATTATTTCCCTACCTCACATTAAATCAGATGTTCTTTATGCTATAAACAACCAAATGTGTGTTTCATAATAGCATTCTACATGAGGATGACAAATTAAAAATGTTAGAAAAGAAAACTAAGTTTAATATTTCAAAATGTGTGACCCATCTGTACGTAGACTGGGCATCCCATATAACCTGGCTGAGCCAATATAAAACAATCAGCCAAATAACTTTTCAATATATTATTGATTACTATTTTTGAGGTACTTTTAGGTTGGCAGTAAACACAAGTCAGAGGTAAATGGTGTACTTTGACTCCACTACATGTATTTAATACCTTTAGTTACTTTACAGATGTGGATGAATGATGTGAAATATAATCAAGTGTTAAATCAGACTTTAGTTCCACCTGGAGTAAATTCACAAGCTACTCTGTAGTATACAAAGTCATTCAAACTAGCTGCAACTTTACCAGCTTTGATAACACTTTCATGATCAATCATTATAAAACATATCATATACAATTATTAGGGATGCTCCGATCGCCAATTTGAGCCGATCGCCGGAATCAGTATCGGCCGATACCGATATCCTCTCTTTTCCTCTCTCCCCCTCTCTCTCTCTCTCTCTCTCTCTCTCTCTCCTGACAGCCCGTCAGTATCTCCTGCAGCTCACTGATCCAGTAATGAGCGACCCGACAGTGAAGAATAAATATATTTATAACTAGTTTAGCTTGTTCCAGAGGTAGATAAAATAGCTAAGTGTGTTAGGTCTAACTCTTAATGTGTGTTCTGCTCCGCTCACCGGTCCGTCACAGCGGGTGGAGCTGCAGGATTTCTGCTTCACACACACGTTGCATACCGCAATTTTATTGTCTTTTTCGGACACTTAAAATACTGCCAGACTAGTGAAGCCATTTTGGCGAGCTTGTTTTGCCGCGCACAGAGAAAAGTGTCATGTATTTTACATGCAACGATAGCCTAATCTAAAATGTTCTACTACAGCGTACCTTTCGTGTGGTGTGTGGCTCGTCAGCGCAGACTCTCGCATCGTTATTGTTGCACACTTTGCAGGAGGCTACTCTTGGGCTTCGCTTGACCCTCGTCTTAGCCATGGCTTGTATTTGTCTTCTGCTAGCCAACGCTCGTTGAAACGGCAACCTCCTGGCATACTGTCATCTATCACTCTCATCAGAATGCCCAGGTCACACACGTAACAAAAACACTTGCAGGTCACGCGCATAGCGCGGGAAGGCCGGAGCGGAGCTGTTTTATGTAAAAGCGAAGCAATTAAGCGCGCTCCGACTTCTTTATTTTCTTTTAATCTAAAAAGCGAAGTAAAGCATTTACAATTTCAAGCACTTTATCCCAAATTCAAGCACCATTCCCAAAATTCAAGCACTTTTCAAACCTTGAAAACACCTCGTACCATTTCAAGCATTTTCAAGGATTTCCAGCACCCGTACGCACCCTGTAAGTAGATACACTCTATCGGGATGGAACTAGTGTAGAGAAGGGAATGCTAACTCATGGCTAACAGTATGTGTTTCTATTAGACAAATTGGACATCTTAGTGCCAAGTGTTTTGACAAGAGATCCAATTATAGTGCACGCTTTTTTTAGCTGCATATAGAACCCTCATTAATGATTTGATTTAAGTTAAACAGTTCTTCAAAAGTCATTATAAAATATCTTTTGGAATAGGATGTTTTTTTTATTAGAGCATTATACTGTTTTTCATCAATATGTTATAGGTCTCAGATATATACAAAACATGTCTCTGAAGTGTTTGGCTTGAAATACCAAGCAGATCCCATAATCCCCTCTGTTTCAGCCCTGTTTCAGAAGTGCTGATTCTGGGTCTGTTACTTTAGATGAAAATAAGGAGCCACTCCCCACGCCCATCTGAGATATATTTGGTTAAAAAGAACACAATGGTGCTCTAGGAGGAGATTCAGGTGATAAGGTGGGGGGGTACCTTGGTTGGTGATTGGCTAATGGTTACACAAGCCAAAAAATCGTTGTGACATCATAAAGTGGCCAAAATCTGATCAGCTCATTTACAGACAGGTTTTTCTATAAATGGATCAGGTCAAAAAGTGAGCGAATCTTTTTTCTGAAATGTTCAGAATCTCTTTACACACATGTTTATGTATAAGACATGAAGAAGTTGATTTTGCATAATAGGTGACCTTTAAAGTGCATTACTTCTATCAGCTGTTAGCACACTCTGCGGTCTCTGAAAGCACACGTTTTTGTTATGTAGACAGCCTACCTTTTTGAGGCTTATGATCCCCTCTCTCGTGTCCCTCTCCGTGGAGATGGAGAACGTGTTGGCCCCTTCGGAATTAATGATGCTGTACTTGATATCTGCATTGATGCCAAGGTCCTCATCAGTGGCTTTGATCTTCCCCACCGGTTTTCCTACTTGAGCCGATTCAGGGACGTACAGCTGGTAATTTTCTGTGGATGAACATTCATGTGTTAAGAGACAGCAGAACACCCTAACAGGAGTTGACCTGCCCCGCATCGTTGTCTGAAGGTTCTTTCAAAAAGGGCTACACTAAGCAACTTCATTCTGTCACTATCTGTCCCCGAGGAAATGTCATTAAACTTACTCTGCACAGTTCAATCGACATTAAATGCTTAACCAAGGTTCATAGCACTGCAACGGAGCAGATCAAACTCCGAGGCGGATGATTATTCAGATGAATTAGATGCTTTTGAAATAGTTGCTAACTGCAGCAAGACATAAAAAAGTCAGAGCCCTGGGGGATTTTTCTTGATGAGACAACAAATCACAACTTTGTCATTACTTAAAATTATCATTAAAATGGAGATCATTCAGACTGCAAAACAAAAGCTTTTAATGAATGTTGGTCTCATATAGCTAATTATGGAAACTTTTATTGCAATATTAAACTACTGACTCATAATAATGGAGTATAACAGCGAGGAATGTCAAAAAGGGCTGAGAGGGAAAGCCTTAATTAAAAATGCTTTGCTCGCTAAAACCTAAAGATTGATCTATGGTTAATCATTGCATGTACAAAACAATATATAATTTAAAGATTTTTTTCCACTGGAAATACAAGAAATATTGATTTTTTTTAGTCTTTAAAATGAAGAGTCCTTTACAGTTTATTAACTTGTCTTTAATATGTAATAATAGCATTGTCACATCCATTTGCTATGCATTTCCACCAAGGAAACACAGTCCAGTCTCCTTTTAGAAATGACTTGGTGTAATTTGACTGCCTCAGGCTTCTGTGGTGGAGGTCTGCTGCTCAAGGCCAAACTGGCTGAGAACAAGCTGATACGATTTCCATGAACGACTTGGCCATTTCATTGAATATAAACGATGTATTCAGGTTAATAGGTCTACATAACCATTACATTGGTTATTTTCCCCAATGAGCCTTCTGGCACCACATTTCTTTCTCAGGGTCTTTAAATAGAGGCTAGGGTCAAACACAGTGTAGCCTAATTATAATTCAATTAACTGTTGCTTTTTTGTTCTGTACAAATGTGAACTACAGTTTGTGTTTTGTTAGCTCAGCTGTTGTTTTTAAGTAAAGAAAAAGTATACCCACTTTGGGGGAACATTGGTGGGTTGTCGTTCACATCCGTCAGCGTGATGTTGATGGTGGTGGAGCCGGAGAGCCCCCCCACCTGACCCGCCATGTCTTTGGCTTGGATAACGACGGTGTAGTGTTCTCTGGCTTCCCGGTCCATCTCAGATAAGGCCGTCCTGATGATGCCTGCATGGGGGAGAAAAACAAACCATTTGAGTTTAAATTAGGACCAGGTCTCTCAAGGCAACGGACATTTTGCGAAAGATAATAACTACTTTGCAGACGACAGCGAGGAAAATACTTATCTTGTAAATATATAGTTGGGTATTTTGAGAAACAAAAAGACAAAAACAGATGAAAAACCTTTTCTACAAGAAGCTCTGAGAGTGAAGATAACACTGTTACTGTTCTCAAGATGTTTCTGTTATTGTACTAATATGTTACGCACTAAAACCTTTTTTTTGGTTATAGTCTTCTCTTACAGCACCACTTTCCTTTAAACACCATAAAAGTCTGCTTCTTCTTCCATCTTTGATTATCCCACATTTTCATCGCCAAGGTTAGCCTTTCACCACTTTTCATTATATCTGAAATGACTATGCAACCTTGGATCGGGGCAGAATGTAACTTTCTAAGGCGCCCCCTCAATCACATTTATTACTACAATAACACAACCATGAACTTTCACAATGCTAACTCAGAGATATATTACTGCAGCTCTGGCCACGTCAGGGAAACTGTACAGAAGTAAAGTGCAACACAATAACAAGCCAAATACGGCATTTTTCTCGTTTGGGTTATTTATTGAATGTAATAGCTGCAAGTCTTGCACATTTATTTGTCTGTATGTCTTTCTGTGACATGTTAACGTTGCTGTTTGTCTATATTTGTTTTTAGGGTGTGCTCGAGGGTTAATTTGCCATCTAAGCTCCTGAAACCACAGCACCACATGGGACCTGATTTAATATGTTCTACCAGTTACATCAGTGTTCTGTGTAAATATTGTTTTTCCCCCGGGGATAAAACCCTGTGGCAACCATTGAACTTGTGTGTTTGTGAACTTGTGAACCCTGCAATAATACACAAAGACTGGCGGTGAGCGGTGAGACCTGGGAGGAAATGGAATGGTGTTGATCATGATGGTTTAAATGGACTTCTGTCGCCTCATGTTGCGAGTGGAAATCACAACAGCAGGCGACGTTTGATAAAATGGCTTTGGAGAATGAAGCAAGGCATCAGTAACATTACTATAGCCAGGAGAAAACCCTAATTTTGACCATTATTTACACCAAATTGGGTGTGGTTGTTTTCTTGCTCCACTCCCACTGGGTATTCTCAATCTACTCCCGGGATGTGAGATGATTTTACTGAAATTGGTGTTGACAAATGTTTGAGTACTTTGTCCTGGTTGGCAAAAAATAAAAGTTTCTGTTAAAAAGACTGTCAGTTACGTCAAAGTCCTAAACATGTTTGATACCATATCACATAAGTGCTTCAAAAACCCATGCTGTGTTTGAAATAACATACTAGCATTCATAGTCAATTACTATGTGCTGCCAATTAAGTGTGATATTTTACCAGATGTTTAATTAACACTGTATACTTAAGGTAACCGATCATGTGACTGAGATCTTCACTTTACAGTTATGTCAATGGTCTTTTAAGTTTCCTTAGTATAGATAACTTAGTATTGCATTTAAAAGGTAATACTTTAACAGCTTGACTTTCACAAAAAAAAAACATTTTGGAGCGACTAAATGGAGTTATATGATTTCCTAATTCCGCCAAGGAGGCAGCTAAAGGCTTTGCTTTTACAATACTGTAGGTCAATTTCCTCTTTCTTTCTTCCAGACTCTATAGACAGAAACTAATCCACTCGCCTAAGGCAGAATAATCATTAAAAGTGGGTCAAGCAGCCAACAGTATTAAGATCCAGGGGATCTTAGGTTACACATCATCTGTCACACTGAGCTGGGGCTCAGGTCCCATACACCTCTAATGGACCTGAACTCATCAGGAGAGAATCAAGAAAAATTGAAAATATATGACATATAAAGTAGCATGACAGACCAGAATGGAAAAATATATTTACAGTAGGCATTATAGCCGAAGAAGCAGAAGGTTTTGAACAGGGAGTCAGTGTACTGCTGAAAATTGTATTTGAGCGTTGCCCTAATGTCAGACAATTTCGTAATCACCAGAATGTAACCTTTAAAAAATAAAGTTGACATGGCGATGAAGCTTCTATGAATGGTCTGTGAATAGTTTCTCTGCCGCAGCATCCACAGTGTTGTGAATAAACTCTAACCTATTGATTCCTCTTGCTCATATTTTTCTAGTGGATGATGCATCTAGACTTTTTCATAAAAAAAGACAGAATCAGTTGACTGGTTCAAACAGAGTTTTTAAATGTAAAATGTCAGTACACTGTGTGTAAATTCCCCTCTTGGATTTTTTGAGATAAAGCAAAACATTATTTAGCCACTTCTTTGGAGGGTACTTTCAAGCATATTGCGGGGATTCAGTGTGTTGGATGTATCGACTCTGGCAGTGTCTCCTGCTCGTGTGCTGTGATTTCATGTGTGTTAGTTCTGCCTATAAAAGAACAACCGTTAAGTGGGGCAACAAGCTACACACACACACACAGAAATATGTTGCACGGCTATATTCACAGAAATATAAAAGCAAATACATTTACTTTGACTGCCAGGTAGATCATTCCCTGGCACTATATAACAATGTTTTATAACAGCTGCATTATTATGTTCAGGGTTGGGAGGTTTACTTTCAATGTTTTTAGTTACAATCACCTACCTTTAATCAAATGTAATATAATCTAAGTATCACAATGTAAAAATAACTGATTACTTTCTGGTATTTATGGATTCTCTTTATTTCAAATGCAATGCAAAAAGAAATACCAAAAAAGGAATAAGACTTTTGTAATTAGTGGTATTATTGGTGTTTTAGGACTCATGAATTGTCGTGTCAAGTATTTTGTTCTACATTTTTAAACGTATTGTAACATTGTAATTCTGCTAGTAATCCCACATTTTTAGAAACATAACAGTAAAGTCATTAAATATTTGTGTGACCTGATTACGTAATACTGTTACATTAACCCATTACTATTCATTGTTAATGTTGTTCCAATGTATTAATTTAATTCTTCAATTTGAAAAATGTCTTGATTTAAAAGCAATCTTAGTGGTATTATATATTAGAACTCTAGGTCTAGTTGAATGATTAGCCTTATGAAATAGGAGCATCCTGACCTGTGAGGAGGTGCTGAATCCTACTTTGGAACATCCAGCCTTTCAAATGCTAAGCAGACAGTGACACACTGTTCTCAGTTTGAACTCTGCCCGAGTTGACGGGACAGATTAACATGCTGCCCTCTCCGTTTGAAATGCCACAACGACGAGTTTAACGCACATAAATAAAAGATACCAATATGTCATAGGGCATTCAAGACTGATTTTAGTAGTCATCGACTGTACCTTAAAAAGCTGTCTCTTTGACAGCTTAAAAATATATTATAGACATAATAACCATCTTATTCCAAGTGGCCCAAATAGTATAGAAAAATGAACAAAAAGCCTGCAAAAAACACACAATGTGCGTCTATTACGTTCCCATAGAGACATTCTATTTTCGAAACTCAACATATGTCATAAAATATTCCCAAGATCTCAACACGAGCATTGCCATTTGCTATGCTGTTGTTTTCAAATGTCAGGTCTCAGCATGGAGCCACTGCGTTTCTTTCTTTCTAAACTAATCAAAGTGCTCGCAGCCACTTCCCTGTAATGATACAGGCTCTGCAAACTTTATTGGAAGTACTTTGTTATTAACTCGAGTCTTAGCATTACTTAACCTGGGGTCTTTGAAACATACAGACCTTAGCAAATGGCTACACTTTCCATTAAAACAACATCAAGACAGAGGGTCTGACCTTTCAAGTCTCTTATTACCCCTGTACTCATAAAGGTGCATCGCTCCAGAGCAATATTTCACAGCAGTCCGTTTTAGGGACCAATGAGCACACACTAAAAGTATTAGTTTTTCTTTTTTGGCTTTGGGAATTGTCTACACTGTTGTCTACTGCAGTCATCAAACAAACAAATGCTCTGCTGTTTCGGACAATTCAAAAACAAAGACAACAGGTTTAGGGTAAGGGTTTGGAGGGAAACCCATTCACAGGTGCACAGAAATGGATTTAAAATACAGAAATGGCCCCAAAGGTATTCTTTGGCGAGTATCTGAACGGTATGTCAGTGCTTTGACACAAGGATCAAACCCCTGAACTCTCTTTCCTGACCATTCCTCAGCCGTAATACCTCAGATAGTCTCGGCTAAATCTCTATAGAGCTTGTCAGTTAATTTAGAAAATAATTGAGAGAGAGCTGACTTCCTTGAACCTGCACCCATTTGACAGAGTAAGGTGGCTAGCCTCCTCCTCACCCTCCCCAGTCTATTAGAGTTGATACCATCACACTATCCAGCTCTTTGTCTGGCTGGAGACTTCTAAAGAAGGACAATCTCCTGGGTGAACAAAAAGGATTATAGGAGATTACTGAAGCGCTCTTCAATCTCCAGCTTCAGGAATCTTGGTTTTTGGCTCATCCAATAGGATGTAATCCCTGTGTGTCTGCACTTCTGTAGAAAAGGTAGATAACACCAACGAGAGCAGCTTTACAATTCAAAGAAATCATAAAAGTAGTCCTTTTCATTTGAAAAAAGATTGTTCTGTTTGGATCAAATATCCGACTGAGAATAATTGGTTGTTCTCCTCTAGATTACATTGCCAAAGTGTCAGCTTTTCCCTTGATTTAAGCAGAGGTAAGACTTAATCCATGAACGTCTTGATCTGTGTCAGCTCCTTCAAAAAAACTCCCAAATCCCAGATCAGCAGAGAAATTAGCCCATTTAGAATGCAAGAGGGACCTCGGCAGTGTGGTGTGTCTTTGCATGTGTGTGTGAGCGAGTGCTGATAGGGTAGGGTTGTGGGGAACCTATCGCCCATAACACTCAAGAGGAACAACCTGACGTCTCTGTGTGTAAGTGACAGATGCACAGTAGCGATGTTAAAGACAGGAGCTATACGATCCGACTATAAAAAGGATAAATGACGAACATCTAGGATGTAGTTCTGATGAGATATGTGGAACCTCTTGCTGGCTTGCACTTTAGAGATTTGCAAATCTTGTAATCAAGTCAATCCATTCCAGAGAAGGCTCATTACAGTTAGCATGTCATGTCTAACTAGTCTGGTACTCCATTTTTGTAAGGGCATGCTGGGAATAGCAGAGCTTTCCGATCCAGTCAAATGTACATCCAGACAACATTCAGGTTCAGTTAGCTAGTCTAATATGCTGTTGTCCTTGTTCATCCGCTAGTTATTGACCAACATTACTACAAAAGTGGAGAACATTAACAGAATCTAGCCTGTGAGCAAGTTCTGTCAACATTGAGCATCTTCGTAAAAATCAACACATGTTGAAAATATAAAGGAATAGGTAGAGATATTGGAAATTAAACATATTTATCTTTTGTGCACATTTTGCGAGAAGATTCATACCATCTCTGATTTGTTTTCTTCCTGCTAGCTAGTTGCCTGCTAGCTTTTTATTTTAATTGTGTTATTAATATTCTCAACTTACTCTCTGCAACAAAACAATAAAGGACATTGCCCAAATGTTTTACCCAAATATAACAATCTATTTAATTGATTATATGAATTATTCCAGTTTATTACATTACATTACATGTCACTTGTTAGACGCTTTTCTCCAAAGCGACTTATACTCAATACTGTGGGCAATCCCCACAGGAGCAATTTGGGGTGAAATGTTAACTGCAGTGGGGTTTGAACCTGTGACCACCTGATCCCTACACCAAGGCTCTATCCGCTGCGCCACACGCCTCCCTTATTAGAGATTTGTTTTGTAAAATGCCGACAACATTAACTCCGGGTAGAAAGGGGGTGCAACAATTGTAACTGATTAACAAGTCTGAACATTGTGTACCCCAGCCGCAGACTGCACCATGTTATTTCACTGATTAGGCTCTTCACTCTTTCAATGTGTTATAAGCAGTGGCCTTCACGCTGTAGTGTGCAGTTAGAAGAAACACCTGCAAATCAGTGTGCTTCAATAGGAAACACCTCTGAATGACATTTCACTGGTTCATATGGAACACTCTTATTTGAATTTGCACAAATCTGCACATGGTGGAAAAGGTTTGCATGAACATTTTTAGTGTAATATGTGTGAATATTGTGTGGGATTGCCAGGTCAATTGGATTTCTTATGATAGAAATGTATATCTCTCACACTATAACATAATGCATTCTTACACAATTACTCTATGGAATTGCACCTAATATTGCTAGCAACAATCTTATCATTCAAATGTCAATCACACATACAACTTCGGAAACATTATTAATGAAAAATAACTGTTAGGCCATGTACAAACTATGTTGGCAGTGCAACACTGGCACATTTGTTTTCCTCTTCCCACATTTCCCCCCTAGGCCTTCCAATATCAGTTGTATCAGTTATATTTCTGTATTTACAAAGTCTGTGTCATGCTCATTTATTTCTGCAGCCAAGTAAATCTAATCCTAAATTCATATCTCTCCCCGTATGCATGGTGCATGACACAAGCATAGATGCATCAATTACAAGTTTACATCCATCATTGAGTCTTATTCCGAGCGGAGACTATGCTGCCTTAATGCTGTTCCCTGACTTAATTAGTCTGTTAAGAAATATGACCTCAGAGTTATTTTCAGCTATGGGCATGTTAGTTAGTTAGTGTTGAAAATACAGAATGTCCACTGGGATTTGCCTCTGGTTTGGTTAAAGTATTTTAGAGAGATATGGTGTTTTGGTGTCTTGTGTGAGGCAAATAAACCTGGAAACCATCAGTTGTCCCAATGTGAAAACCAAATACCTTGGGCAATCGTCCAACCGTGATTTCTCTAGATTTAAAGGGCCCGATCAGGGTCTTAAAGAGCTTTGAAAAAACGGTCTGCTACCGTCTGCTGATATTGTCTGTGGGCATTTTGTTTAAATTATGTAGATAACACAACACTAGGGAGATAATAATAATCTTAGTTTCATTGATATGGCTCTTTAGGATAAGCAGCATAAGTGGTATGGTCATGGGCTGTTTGATTCTAATATTGCTAAGAAAGACAATTTCAAATGCTTATTCCATGTGATTTTTCACTGTAAAGTCAACTGCAATTTTTCTTTTAAATGATGAGACAAGGTATTTAGTTTCAATTTAGCCATGCAGTATTTATGGCATAATGTAATTCAAATACTTAAAGGAGTATTGGATGTATCAGGATGAGATATACTATAACTGTGGTCAATTGACCATTCAATAACATGTCTGAACAGTCAGACAGGCCTGTCATATTGGTATCTGATGGGTTTGAGATGATGTAATCCGAACCACTTATCCAGGGGCAAACAGGTACAACTGCTCGCTGAGGATTTGGGTCAAGTCTGAGACGGTCCTTTGGGGATTCCTCCTGCACCATATGTGCCAAATGCTATCATGACCACCTGTCCTTAAACCATCTCTTTACCTCATGGATATCTCGAATCAAATCTGTCCCTTGTTATATCAGGGCACCACACCAAGGTCAAACGGGAGGAGGTGGATTTGTCCGTGTGTGTGTGTTAGCAAACTGGTGTTTAATAATACATGAATTCCCCAAGATGGTGTCTCTGCAGTTTTAGCGTGCTGGGAGCCAGGTAAATGTGGATATACTGTAAGGAGGTGTAAGTAAGCTAATGCTCTGTGAGACAGATGCAGGAGCAGCTTCAGCTCCCCAGTGTTCAGCTCAACTGGGCAGAGGGCCAACACAACTGCGTTAAGACTTTGCATATTAAGGATCACATGCAAGTGCAGCTTCCTCCATGTGCGCCGTTTCCACTGACCGCTGGAGTTCCTTGTCCTAATTCCAGGGAGGAGGCTGCTTTGCCAGTAGCGAAAACAACAGCCGACTTGTATAAATGAATACTTGTGGGTGGAATGGTGTTGTGCAGAGTGCAGCTGGCTAGGCTTTCGATCATCGCCCTACTCCTCTGCATGCCCCCCACTGAATTACAATGCAGACAGGATGCAGAGTCAGCTCAAGCAAAACAAGCCATCTGACGTGTCCAAAGGCGCGCCGCATGTGGAAAATGGAAAGAAAATGACTGCAGCATAATCACTTTTGCGGTCAAAAGGTGATGTTAATAGATTTAAACTGAAATAACATACAGTCGATTGAAGAAAACATGTTGCGTGGCATGAGAAAAACCCTGCTTTTGTTCAAAAATTGGCATTGCTTCTGCCTCACCACACTGCTGTGAAATTGCTTCATCAATCCCCACTGCCTTTCCCCCTCGAGGCAAACTCAAAATATTCAGCAATTCATTTGTGTTGCTCATTCAGCAAAGAATTCATGTTTTACATGGGCGGCATGGTCTCAAAGGGGCCAATAGTTGTTCCAGACTCCAATGAATCAATTGTTACAAGTGAATTGTTCAGGTTAACCGACAGCAAGGGAAAACATGCAAGACTTCAGAATCACTATCGCATCTTTTCTGAGATGAAGAGACATCAGAAATAAACCGGCATGCACACACTCACAACAACACATCATATACAAGTTATATCCCTTGCACTTTAGACTCTTTATAAAGATTTAATAGATTCCAGCAGTGGCCCCCTCAGACAATAGATGAACTTTAAAAACACTGAGCACTGCATGCCGTGCCTCTGCCGCTTTTTTTCCCTCCTTTAAAAACAATGGCTTTCTGAAGGCATCTCCACAAATGTCTTCTCTGACCCCTGAGGATTTAGTTATGGCCCGCAAAGAGTGCGTTGCGTGTTCAACAATATAACCGTCTTATGAGTAGCCCATAACTCTACTGCGGCTGCTTTAGCTTTTTATGATGTCAGACCTGCTTCAATAACAGAACAGGATGTCCACTGAGAGAAGCGTCGGTACACATTTTTTACAGCATGATACACACATCACTTTAGGAGACCAACAATAGCCTGAAGAACAACGTTATTGCAGCCATTTATAGTTATAGTTACCATGCTTTCAAGAGCATGGAGGCTGACTTTGTGTAAGCATGCAGTTATAACACACCTGTTTTGGGGTCGATGGAGAAATATGGCTGTCCTTGTAGAACACTGTAGACTATTCTGGCACTGTTTCCGTAGGTGGGATCGTCAGCATCAGACGCAGTTACTTGCAACACCGAAGTGCCTACAAAAAAGAACACAGCATAATTATTTCATGGCATTTACTGACACTCTTAAATGCTTTTCAAATGTTAACAACCCTTTTTCCTACAGAATAGCACTCTAAACTGCACACCCAATTATGTTTTGAGGGAAATAGATTATCTCCGGGATAATGGTAACAGTTTTAAACTTTGGGAACCAGAGTTTTTTGTAGTTAAGAAAAAAGATCATGGTTTGGCACAGTATTTAAACTACGGACGTACATTTCAATAATAACAAGGTGGACTTTTGGTTTCACATGAAACACAAAACATAACAATTCCAGGAGAAAATACGTGTTCATCAAAGTAGACGTTTTTAGCACATACTGCTGCAAGAGAATTACATTGATGTGATTGCATGTGTAATGGTTCCTTCTTGAAAATAACCATGTCTGGTACATTTAAAGCAAATGAGAATGACTGTGTGCCAAATAATAAACATGTTACAGAAGGACAATAAACGAAATACTTAATACAACATAAATAAATAGAAAGTCCTCATACAACCCAGAGAAACAATTGGCAAACCAACAAACATGCATATTTATCACAAAGACTGACAAGATATGATGCCAAATAATCAAAACATCTCTTTAAGAAAGATAATAATGGGAACATATTGTGGTTAAAGACAGCTTTTTTGGTGTTCATGATTGATAATTCATATAGAAACACATTCACAGTGTGATTCATGTGACAGGAAAGTGGACATTATTCAGCTGTCAAACCTTCAAAGGGAGACATGAGTTACAATCCACATATTGAGTTTTCAAGTGGTTTTTCATTGCAAGAGATTTCAAAAACAAAGACAGCTGATTTGAGAACTAAGAGAGAGGGCTCATGTATAACTCTTAGCATTTAGGCTTCAATATAACAATTGACATTTGCTTAAACAGCCTTGCATGCTTCATTAACCCATTATCATTGCATGATGAGTGCATTGTAATTGCCCTATCAGCGTATCTAATGCATGATTATGTGTAAGAATTAGTATGATTATGTTAGGAGACATACGAGCTATATGTTACTTTACTAGGCCTGTAAATTATATGGACACAAACCTCTAGGAATAGAAATGACATTAAGCAAGTCAAATTCCATCGTGTCTCACCAGATATGACCTATTTATTTTTCTTGGAAATCTAAAGGAGCAGCGTGAAAAGACACCTGTAATGAACCATGTACTCCACTGAGTCTGTCAACCTCGCAGCAAAAATATGCAGTTGGAACTATTTTGACTTTTAACTCTGGGATTGGAAGCTGGGTCGTTTCCAAATCATCTTTCTGGGAAAAACGTATTGGTTAGTACATATTTAATTGATGAACTTTAATTTCTTTTTTATTATTGGCACTGTGACCTTGTATGATACATATTTATGTACAGCACGGACAAGAATACAAGATGTTCTATACAACTTATCAGATTCCAGCTTTTCAAATTGTAGAAACAGATCCATGTCATTACATAATCTAACTGATAGTGCACCCACTTTGCACTCAAAAACGACGGCATAATGTGCTTTCAATTGCTCTCAATTTACTCAATGTAAGTGTTTAAGTACAATATATTTAAAGCTTTAGAAGGGATAAGAGCAACATTAAAAGTGGCAATACACATGTGTTTCGCCTTCACTCTTAGTAATTCTTGATTGTACATTGTATTCGCCATAGAAAAGTCTTGCATTCACGATGACATTCTGTTGGTTTGATTCATATTAGATATGTTGCCCAGTCCTGAAAGCACCAGACATGTAATGTTCTGGTTCTATAGTCTGCTTCACTCCAAAAGACCTTGAATGTTGAACCCAGTCACATACTGTTTCCCATTTTTTACAAAAATGTCATCATCTACTTCAATTTATCTGTATCTGAGGACCTCACCGAGTTGATTGCCGTGACCACCGGATATACTATACTTAATAAAGATCAAGGTTTCTGAAGGCGGATAACCACCGGGCGGTTCTTTTCATCATGCCTCAGCGAGCCTCGGTTCATCCCCAATTGCAGGAATAAAATAACAAAAAAACATGTACTTGATGTGTGCTGTAATGAAGCAGCAATTAGTCAACAAGGTGGATGAGGCTCATTGGGTAAGATGTTCATTTTACGGCATAAAATATGTCGATACACAGCCAGGTGTGTGTGTTCAGCAATGACTGTCAACAAGTATGAAAACTGATTTGATTTGTGTTTTATGATGGATCTCAGCAAATATCAGCAAATAGGGCAACACAAGTATCTGTTCAAGCCTTAGTGTGAAACCCTAAATGTCTTTGGTTTTGTCAATAAACAGTTTTATACCTACCCATGTGTGCTATTCCGCTCAATTTCGGTGCATTAGTTCCGATAACACTCATTTAATCATAACCTCTCGTCTAAACAAGCACCCACCTCTGCCTCCGGGGTTTTTGAAACCACAATTAACAAGATATTTTCCCAGAAGTGAATTGGTTGACAGGAAAAGCAGTGATACCATCTCCAGTATGTCCATTAAGAGACTTCTCAACTGGGAGATATACAGTAGTTAGAAATTGATACTCCTTTTATCTAGCACTCTAGACAATATTATTGTACTTTTGAATAGGAGGTATGTAACAGTAACGTTGAGTTCCTGGCACGTGCCCAGCTAATCAATTTAGACAGGAAAGAGGAACAACGCAACCAATTAGTTGCCACACTCCCAGACAGCCCTTTCTGCACTTGGGAGCACCAGTATTGACAAATGCTGGGGGATTAGTGCTCTGGAGTGTGAGGACAGTTGATTGTTACAGCCGATTTGACGCTGCAGATGCTGAACCAAAGAGGAATTACTTTAATGGACAAGAGCAAAAGAGGGGGCGGGAAGAAAGGGCTAATTATTTTCCCCTTCACAGTCCTTGATTTCCTCCCTTGGGTCTTCAATGGTGATTGATTATTTGTGTGCAACTGATGATGAAGTTTGCAGACAACAGTGGAACTTTTTCAGCTGCAGCAGTAGCTTTAGACCTACACACATATTCAGTATGTGCCAATAGTTATTATTCCACGTAGAAAGTGTCAGGACATACAGTGTAGCACTTTTAAGAGATTAAGACATGTACTTGACACATCCAATTTAGTAACAAATACACAGAGTAGCAAAGTTGCATGTAGCTAAGGCTTTTCCGGCCATGAATATTCATGAATTCAACCAGGGAGCTATTGACTGTTTATAAAGAGGGCGCCTTAAGGTCTATTGGGGTTTGCATATTTAATCGCTTTTGCACATTTCCATCTTGCTGATGAAGCTGTTTTCTCTTATATCTTTTAATAAGTAGCTCTGCATCCTTTCAGCAGCTAGAGGGATTATGTAAGACGGACAGATATGAATGGAATGTTTTCACCATAGTGTCAATGTCACAAATTATACAGTATATCGGAAGACGCAAAAACGGCTCTGACAGCAGTTTGGCTAGCATTTATGATTGGTCCCAACATCCATATGTTCGGAGATATTGTCCTGAGAGGCAGAATCCACTGGACTGAGAACAGGGGGAGCTTTTGTTCACACGGCTAAAAACAGAACGGTGCAATAAAAAAATAAAAAATAGATGTTTGCCACATGATGCTGGGCTTACGAAGAGAAGCTGTCTCAGAGGAGGTGGAGAAAGGCTTTTTCTCTCCTCTATGATGTGGAGGACTCCATAGTCTCGATGGCGGGGATTGCTGTGGAGGCACTATTGAGTGCTTTATAAAGACCTGCCCACCCGGGAAACCATCACAGCAACAAGCAAACAAAGATGAAAAAGAGGACTCGGCTGGCTTACAGAAGATCAAGCCTTCCGGAGAACATTATCAAAGAGGGGACAAACCAGAATAGTGCACAGGGTAATAACATGTTTGATCACAGCTCTTCCTACTAATGCATTCTTGGTTCAACACTAAGTCATGTGTACATAACATGGGTACATTCGTCAAAGGTCTTGCCATAAAAGTCTTGTCTGTACCTCAACCCATCCAACACAGGCTTCCTGCTTCTGACAATCACATGAAGTTCTAGGTAAACATTTTTTTAGCAGTACTCACCCAATTCAGACATCTCCGGCACCGTAGCTACAACGGGTCCATCTGGAAATGTTGGTGCATTGTCATTGATGTCTTGTACTTTGATGATGAATTCCGACTTTGGTTCCAGCGCCTCCTCTGTGTTGCGGTCCAAGGCTTGTGCATGCAGGACATAATGCGATTTACTTTCTCGATCCAAGCTTTTGGTGGCGGAAATATCCCCCGTCACTTCGTCGATAACAAATATATTCCCAGCTCCATCCCCGCTCAGAATGTACCTGACGGATCCATCGCCTTTGTCCGAGTTAGAGTGAAGCTGCAAACCAGAGAAAGAGTGTGTGAATACAGAGGATAGAGCGTTGAAAAACATTTTCTTAGAGTTGTTTTTAGTGTGATTCAAAGAACACCGTGCACTGATGTACAAAGGCTGCATGAGTAATGCATGGAGAGAACACTATGATTTCCATAGCAACACATTTTTCATTAAAATATCGAACATTATCTACTTTTTATCTTCTCAAATGTAATGAGCTTCTGTATATATTTCTTATATGAATGTAAATTGAATATCTCTTAGTTTTGGATTTACAAACACAAGTCAATTGCAGACGTTACCTTGGAATATTAGACATTTTGACTGGCATTTCTCAATTGTTGGAGCCTTATCTCACCTTATACATTGATACAATGTAACATAATCTTCATCAAGGCCATAAAATGTGCTATGTGCTTTTTATAGCAATAACCTTTGTGGCAATAATGCACTGCAGGGTGCCGAGGTTTCAGTTTCACAACATTTATGTCTCATATACATTATTGGATATTCCATCTAAGGCCTGGCTGTGCCTAAGCAATCATTAAGGAAATTCCTCTTTCAAGATTCAAGTTTTGGGGAATTCCTTACAAGACGCTCTGGCTCTTTCTTACCAGGAGAGAGGGGAATAAGGGCCATAATTGACACCAAGAGGATTAAGACTTTCAAGTCAATTTCTCAGCTGGTTTTGTAGTAAAGTATAAATAAATATTACAATACTGGATTTCCACTCATGAATAAAACATGTTAAACTTTTTTTCCTCAGGGAAGTGTCACAGCTGAACATAACAGAACAATCTATTGTGCATGTTACGTACTAGTGGTATTTTTGTGTTTCATATTCCTAGATGCACATCAATAAGCTGTGAACACAACCTTTGAATCCCAACTCGGTCTCGTCTCAAACAGGATGTATGCAACTCTTTGGAGAACATAAGATACACATACAGCAAATAAATAATGCATGTTCTGTTTGTATGGAGGTAATATGTTTCCCTTCCACAGTAATATCTTCACAGTATGGATAAGCAGAACTATTATGAACATCAGTGTGCGAAGTGCAAAAAATAAGTAAAATGACACCAGAATCACAATTAAAACCCAACTACAAAGCTGGGTCATTTTCTACTCAATGCTCATTTGAGATATCTGTCGGGTATAATAAAGGTCTGGCAAGTTCTCCCACAACATCAAACAACTCAACGCACACACAGAGGGCAAATCAGTCCGGAACTGCATGTGTAATAGTAAAATGTATTAATAAAGAATGTTTAATTATGTGTTTCAAGTTGAGTAGTTTAAATGAATTATGACAAAGCACGGACAAATAGGAGCAGCAGTCAGTAGTCACATTGGATTTGAATTGTTTACCAGCAAAATCTGTCACTAAATATGTGTTTAATATGTAATAAATCACATCCACTCAGGTCAAAATAAAACTTGAACACACTCTCTTACAGGGTTATTCAAAGCGTAGATGGGTAAAATCAATTTAGTCTTCAGACTAAGATGACTTTTCATATCAACCAATGATTGTAACTGCTGCATTGTCTTTGATTAAGAGTAATTGTGATTTTGTAATATCACTGCTGATACATATAATTAGGGCGATGTTAAAAAACAACATTATTATAAAATGTCCTAAATAGGACAACTAGTAGAATCCTCAATATACTGTTAGAAGTTATATTGGCCGACAATGGCAATGATAAGATTGAATTACGTTGTTTTTTACATAATTCACTCATCTAAATAGATTCCAAATGTACTAATGAGCTTTTTTAAATTAAGGGAATCTTTGAGCCTAGTGAGATAGTGACCTAATTTATCTTGTTCTAAAGTTTTTACTCATATTAACTGATATAAAAATACACATAGATACTGTATAATCACAGTGAATTATTTTTGCATTATCCTGCCCTACTTCTACTTGATAGGCTACATTATGATTTACATAATGTTCCCATGCAAATCTTTAAAAAAAAGGATTTTGTTATAAACACATTATACTGGTGCAGTCCAGAATTAGGACACAGCTTTTTGAAGTACAGACGAGAGCTGAAGATCCTCTCCTTTCAATGTGACCCAAATTTAGAGACAATCAATCATCTCCTTATTTAAAACATTACACTTTGCAACCGTTATTGACCGTTTCATTGATTGGTTGTCTGTTTGTGACGTGATTAATTACTGTTCCGGCACTGCTAATCCTGCACTGGGCAACCATCAGACATCCCTGCTGGGAGATAAGACTTGAGCAGACAGCCTGTAAACCTGCAGTGCATTATGGGTATATGTGCAGTGGGGAAACTCTTGTGTTACCTAACTGACCCTGAAACTTGGTTTTAGCCAACCCGTGAGCATTTCCCAATGAAAACAGCCCCAAAAGGTACATATTTATATTGAAAAAGAGCAGTATAGTAAACACACTACCATTAACAGAAACAAGTCATTAAACATGTCATTAAACAAGTCGGACGGTGGAGGTCCTCAGGCCACTTCTAATCAAACCAGAGCTAGCGAATACATAATTAGAAAGCCGCTGCTGATTGCACACCAAACTCTTGATGAGGGCCATCTTTCCTTCCCGCTGTAAATATCAGGCCTGTAATTAGATAAGGTTTCAAAGATCCTGTTGAAATAGCTAGTTAATCAGTTGCTACACTGTACCATTATGAATCACATCATTCAAGCTGACAAATATGAACAGGAGAAAACATCACAGCAGGGTGGAGGGGAACAATTGCTCTGTTGGCCCATTTCTGCACTCTTTGAATTTTTAATGTCGCCAAAGACATTTAGAGAATTGTAGATTACAGTGCTGGCTCTAGCTTGATGATCAATTCCTGCTTATAAATGAAATCATTTAAATTCAGAGAACCAGAGTTTCTTGACAGACCACTTCCATAACTACTACAAGGATATATCCACTTCTGTCCAGCAGCACTCTACAACTTCAGCTCATAAATGGAATTTCGCCTGCAGACAGAGTGCTAATTTAGCCATTGACTTCTTTCACAGGAGCCAATAAATCATGCCCGGCAAAGTGTGAACCAATGGTGCATATGGCGACTACTTCCTTCAAAAAATCTATTGGTGATAAAAGTGTCAACAGGTTGCGGGCCATTACACAAACATCGTGGGCTAAAGTACAGCAGGGTCAGAACAGATGAGATTGAAACCTATATCAGGCCACTAAAATCAGAAAAGGGCAATAAGGAATCATGCTTTAAAAGGAATCTTTGAGGGGGTTTTCAATGTGGTCTTGCTTGGTATTACAATCACCCATATCTTCCATAGTAGCCTATAATGGACTATCCTTGTAACCTTCAATATGTTGTGCCTCGACTGTGACATTGTTCCATGCTTTAATGTTCAAAAAGTGCTTAACCTTTCTCATACTGCTTGTTTGTCTAAAACTAGAGTCCAGTCTGCTCTGATTGGTTAGCTGGCCTGCTCTGTTGTGATTGGTCAATAATTAGAGATGTCCTGATATAGATAAATCTTAAACGGAAATACTAGACAACATACGACAACCAACTGCATTAGATCTTAAACTGATTTACCTCCTGGCTTTAAGTTAACTGACAACCTTCTCATGTTTACTCACCATCTGTGACTGCTTGATGATACCAAATACAGGAAAAAGGCCAGTTTGAGCATCCACATTTTCCTGGACCGAGACCTCCCTCACTGCTGTTCAGAGGAGAGTTTGTGTTTTCGCTTCTTATTCAAAGCTGATGGTACAAAACTGGGCTCGGGGCAAATTGCTGTCATAATTTCAACAGCAGGGCTCCATTATTCTGCAGAGGTTGCTGCTCCTGCATCTCAAATTCAGCGTTGGGATATTTTATTCATATTTCATTAAATTTGATCACAGAGAACATTTCATGACAACTTGCCTTAATGTAATAAGTGTAAATATTGTTTCACCACAGAGCAGGCCTGAATAATATAATAACATACATCAGCTCTATATGATGCAATGTGGAAGAGGGGAATGAAAATGGCTTGATGTTTAGTTTATGTAATATATGGAAATGTAAGAAAATCTCTCATAGACACGATCAGTGAAGTCCAGGAAGACATGGTAATAAAAGGTGAAAAAATGACCTTATTGTTTGTCATCCCCCCCAAAAAAAGATTTGGAGGGATCCCTTTTCTCCACTGGGCATCAAAACAAGGGATTGTGTTTATCTCTCCGTCTCTACGACTGACTTTATTAAAGAATAGATGACAGGCATGTGGCTGGCGGCTGGCAATGCATTTCTGAGTTTAAAGAGATCAACAGAGACTCGGGCTCTGAAGTCGTCGGCGGGAAAACTCCAATCTCAAGGAGAACCTCCCTTATAATTTCATCATACGCCCAGAGGAGCAACCCCAGAGAAAGGGTAACTTCACTTTATTTTGTCAGAAAGCTACGTGTTGTCAGTGTTTGGCGTCTGTGTGCTCATTGCCGAGAGCAGCCATAAACTGTTTGTGTTCACAAGCTAATTGGGGCTCACAGTAAAAAACAACTATATGTTTGTCTCTGTCTACAACTTGTCAGGCGTCTCTGCCAATTAAAAAGGGAGAAGACAAGGAAAGCAATCCTCACATCTGAAATGTATCTGCCACTAAGACAGTAATACATTCAATTGTATTTTTTACACGTGTGGTAATGCTTGATAACAAAACTAATGAAAACAATCCTGCTTTGTTACCTATGATTATAGTTTTTCTGTCAATCATTCGCTCTGTCAGAGTAGATTATTAAAGTCAACTCACCAATTATGTTTTAGTAGAGCAGAGGGAAATTTGCACTGATGAATAAGAAGACAAGGCGCAAACAGCACCCGTGTTACAAAATTCGAAGCAATTATTTTGTTTTCTTATGATTGGTTAGCAACTAATCTTTCCATCTCATACGAACTCTTAGAGGCAAAAAGATGTCCAGAAGTGTGCACCCTGCGACTGGGATTTATTTAAATCAGGTTTAACTGATTTAATAACCACACAGACAT